ATGTATAAATATATATATTTATTTTATTTTATTTTTTTACTTTTTCTGGCCTTATTCTGAATAGCACCTTCATTACAACATTGAATAGAAGTGGTGATAATAGACATAATATTCTCAATTACAAAATAAAAGCATATACTTTCAATATGTCACCAATAAGCATAATACTTATTATATTTTTATAACTCTAAAAAATTATTTGAAGAAGTTACCTTCTATTCCCAGTGTACTAAAAGTTTTCTTCTTTTTAAAAGCACAAATGGGTTTTGAATTTTACCCACTGCCCTTTTTTGTGTCTGTATATAATTTTTCTCTTTTCATCTATAATGAGATATATGCCATTGATATTAAGTCAACCTTGTACTCTTGAAATAAAATCCACTCAGTTGTGATATATTATCTTTTTAACATATCATTATATTCTATTTATAATATGCAGATATGTGTGTGTATTTGGAATTTTTGAATTTATAATCATAAAAAATTGTCTATAATTTTCTTTATCTGTATTATTCTTGTTATACTTTATATCAAAGTTGTGTTGACTTGTTAAAATGAAAAAATTGAATGATATTAGTATTCTTTATTCCTAAAATGTTTGAAAGATTTACCAGTAAAACCATCTGGCCCTGAAATTTTTTTGTGGGGAGTTTTAAAAAAGTTTTTTTTAAATTATTATTTTAATTATTTAATATTTTAATTATTATTTTAAAAGTTTTAAAAATTATTACTTTATTATTTATTTGTTTATTACTTTATTACTTTATTATTTGTATTAATAGATAAAGGACTTCACATTTTATATTATTTCTTGTATCATTTTGGTAATTTACATGTTTTAAAGACTGTTCATTTCATTCTGTTTTTGAAATTTACTAGGGAAAAACATTTATTATGTCATCTTAATACTTTCTTTTTTTAATTAATTAATTAATTTATTTATTTATTTATTATTTTTTTATCTTAATACTTTCTAATAAATGTGGAGTCTATAGGGTTGTATGCTTTTCCATTCCTGTTAATGTTTATCTGTATTTTTTTCTTCTTGTTTGCTGTGTTTTTTCTTCTTGTTTTCTTAATCAGTCTCACTGGAGTTCTGTTTTTTATTTTTATTGTGTGTCTTCATTAGTTCATTAATGAACTAATGAACTTCATTAATTTCCACTTCTCAAAAATTTCTTTCCCTAAGCTTTATTTGGTTTGATTTTCTATTCATTCTCTAGCTTCCAAGCTGACTTAGATCCTGGATGTTAAGCTTTTTTTCTTTACTTATGTATACATTTAATATTTTAGTTTTGCTAAAATCATTTGTTTTTAGCTACATTCAGAGTATTGATATTTCATACTTCTATTAATATTCAGTTTTAAGTTTTTTAAATTTTGTTGGAATTTATTTCAACTATGAATTATTTAGATGGATATTCTTGAATTTTAAAGTAGTTTGTGATCTTGTAGGGTTTTTTTCTCTCTGTTTTTAATTAATAAATCTGGCTTAATTCCACTGTGGTCAGAAAATATGCTCTAAAGTTTCCAATCCTTGGGCTGCCCCGGTGGCGCAGCAGTTTAGCGGCGTGATTCTGGGGACCCTGGATCGAGTCCCAGGTCGGGCTTCCTGCATGGAGTCTGCTTCTCCCTCTGCCTGTATCTCTGCCCCCCCCCTCTCTCTCTGAATAAATAAATAAATCTTTTAAAAAATAAGAATAAAAAATAAGGTTTTCAATTCTTGAAGTCTGTTGAGGCTTCTTTAATTCTAAGTATTGGCAACTTGGAAAATGTTCCATGTGCCCTTGAAAAGAATCTGAAATCTTTTCTTGTTGGATGCATTTATATTAATATGTCAATTATGTCAATTTTGGTAATTGTGTTTAGATTTTCTCTATCCTTATTGAAGCTTTGGTCTGCTTGTTTTATCAGCTGTTGAATGAGGTATGTTAAAGTCTTTCATTATGACTGTGAATTTGTCTATTTTTCTTTTAATTCTGTCAAGTTTTGCTTTATGCACACACACACACACACACACAGTTAATGGATTTTAGAATTGTTATAGTTCCTCATGGTTTGATTTCTTTATCAGTCTACCACCTTAATCTTAGTAGTGGTTCTTGCCTTTAAGTCTATTTTGTCTGATCCTAATATAGCTTCACCAGCAATATTTTGATAACTATCTGCATGGTATACCTCTTTCTATGAATTGCTCTGTGTTCTTATACTTAAGGTTTGTTTTGTGAGCAGTATATAATTTTTCACCCAGTCTGATAGTCTTGTAATTAAAATATTGTCCATTTACATTTAATATAATTTTTCTATATTTATATTTTTATTTGTCATCTTATGATTTGTTTTCTATATATACCATTTTTGTGTCTCTTTGTCTCTCCTTTCTTGCTTTTGTTTTATTTTATTTTTTTAGATTTTATTTATTTATTCATGAGAGGCACAGAGAGAGAGGCAAAGACATAGGCAGAGGGAGAAGCAGGCTGCCTGCAGGGAACTTGATGTGGGACTCTATCCCAGGACTCCAAGATCATGCCCTGAGCCAAAGGCAGATGCTCAATCACTGAGCCACCAGGCATCCCTTATTTTAAATTTTTATATGATTCTTTTCCCTCTAGTAACTTACTAGTTATAAACTTGCCAATTATACATTTTTACTATTCTTTTGGTGATAGCCCTAGCAATTATACATATATTCTTGCCTTAGTATAATGAAACTTAATTTAATGAAAGTTATTACTTTTACTACTTTCCCAGTAATGCTAGGACCTTAAATACTTTAACTCCATTTACCCTCTTATGTCTTTCACATTATTTTTGTCATAAAATTACATTTTACATAAGTTTAAACTCTACAATATACTGTTAGTATCATTTTATAGAGTTAATGCTGGCTCATACATAGTTACAGAATTACTCTTTATAGTGTTCTTTATTCTTCCCTTTATCCCTTCTTTCTGCCTAGAATCATTTTTCTCCAAGTGGAAGAATTCCCTTTTAGGATTGTTTTTAGTGCTATCTCTCAATTTTTGCTTGTCTAAAAAATGTCTTTATTTCATATTTATTGAAGGAAATTTTTTCTGGTATAGAAATCTAAATATGTGCTACATCATTTTTTAAAAGATTTTATTTATTTATTCATGAGAGACACACACACACACACAGAGAGAGAGAGAGAGAGAGGCGAGACACAGGCAGAGGGAGAAGTAGGCTTCATGAAGGGAGCCTGACTTGGGACTCGATCCCAGGTCTCCAGGATCAGGCCCTGGGCTGAAGATGGCGCCAAACCACTGAGCCACCCGGGCTGTCCTGTGCTATATCATATTAATAGTCATCAGATTAGTGGCCTTACAAATGGGCACAAAATTTATTGAGCTTCAAATAATTTTCATATTTTATAATATTTACATTGATCTTGGCATTTTAGTCACTATCATGGGATTTCTCCTAACATTCCCCTTCTTTCTAGCATTCTATAATGAAAATAATCCAGAATTTGGGCAGCCCTGGTGGCTTAGCAATTTAGTGCCGCCGTCAGCCTGGGGCATGATCCTGGAGACCCAGGAGACCCATGACCCAGGAGACCCAGGAGACGCATGTTGGGATCCCTGCATGGAGCCTGCTTCTCCCTCTGCCTGTGTCTCTGCCTCTGTGTATGTGTGTGTGTGTGTGTGTGTGTGTGTGTGTATGTGTCTCATGAGTAAATAAATAAAATCTTTAAAAAAAAGAAAAAGAAAAAGAAAATAATCCAGAATTTGGAAGGAAAAATGCCTTGTGACCTTCATCAAGCCATTTAACTTCCTTGAGTCAGTTTCCTCATGTATAAAATGGGAAAAATATAGTGTCTGTATGTCACTATGAAGTTATGAGGTCCTGTTGAGTTATGTATGGAAGTGCTTTGCAATATGTAAAGTACAAATTAGTTGGAGTTTTTTAGTGTCATTGTTATTTACTGAAACAGAAATATCTTTTTGTATTCAGTATATATCTAGAACTCTCTTACCAGGGCACATTTTTATGATACCCACAAAATGATTAAAATGATAGCATTCATGTATATATTTATTTATACATGCCCTGCCTTTTATAAGAAAGGACAGTGTTAAAAGTTACACAAAACACAGCTTAGGCAAGGTTGGTTGTAAGTTTATTTTTGATTTTTCAAGCAACTAACATGAAATGGGAGACCTGGCTAGTTAACTTAAAATACTCATAATATTAAAAATGATCCATTAATTTTAGGAGAAGTACAGATCTTTCTTAACACTAAGTTCAGGCAGGAATTTACCCCTTAGTTTTCTTAATGATGCCGAGTTATTTAAAAGATTATTCTGCTGGTTTAGAGGCTACTGATTTGCATGGTTAATCCAAATCAGTGTTGGACTGATATAGAATTTTAATATTCTGTTTCATACGCTCAAAGGGAGAATTATACATTTTAATGTGAGCTACAAGTAGCTGCTTTTCAACCCTACTTGCAAATGGATTCTATTCAGAAAACTAATAAAGAATGCCTGTTTCTTTTTCAAAATGCTTGGATACACATTTGAGGGAAGGTTAGGCTGATAAATTAAAATTTGATTTTGCATATCTAATATCAACAAAACTGCCTTAGAAAAATACTTTATGTATTTATTTTACTTTGTGTTTATTTTTCCTTCATAGAGGTTTCTTACTACATTGATCAAATGTTTATGTGCCCTACTATGTGCAGACATACCCTGTTGGTTTTTTTGTTGTTATTGTTGTTCTCCTCTGACAAAAAGTGGTCATTCAGACTTATATTTTTTAGGGTTGTTTGTTTGTTCTTTCATTTTTTCCCTCTTTATTTATTAAACATATATTTAAATGGAAAAGAAAATTTGAAACTGAAGCTTTTAAACAAACAACCAAAGAGTATGTTAGTGTCTCATAAGCAATTCCATGACACATCTGAGGTTTATATGGTGATCAAATTTAAAATAGGATATTTATTCCTCATTTAAATTCTTTGACTTTGTCTTTAGGTCTCTGGCATGCATTTTATATGAGATGTGCTGCATGAATCATGCATTCACTGGCTCCAATTTCTTGTCCATTGTTTTAAAAATTGTTGAAGGTGACACGCCTTCTCTCCCCAAGCAATATCCAAGAGAATTGAATGCCATCATGGAATGGTATGGAAATAAATATATTGCCACAGAAGCAATTTTAAATTGTACTTATATTTTAGTTCATTTGAAAAATAATTTTCTTCTTAAACATTACAGCATGTTGAACAAGAGTCCTTCGCTAAGACCATCTGCCATAGAAATTTTAAAAATCCCTTACATTGATGAACAACTACAGGTATTTAAAATGAAAGAGATACTGGGAAACATGTATTAGCATTTATATACATTCAAGGACTTGAAGATATGTTGTGGGAATAAGACGCATTAAGAGTCAATCAGAAAGGAGAAACAAGATTTTTTTTTAAAGTTGAGGGAAATTATTAGATGATTTCTTTTGCAAAAGAAAGTGTGTGAAGTTCCCTGGAGCCCCAAATATGAGAAGTTAGGGTTGTAATTTTCTCCCTGAACTCAACATCCACCCTTAGAACTCTTGGTTTACAAATCTTACCTCAATACTTTGTGAGTATATCCCTGTTAGGACAAGAATATACTACTACTAATAATAAAATCTGGAGTTTTCAATGAGCCTTTGTTATTCCACTCCTTTATTATATATCTTAGTCATACTTTTTATTAATTAGGTGAGTTTGCTTTCCTTGTAGATTAAAAAGTTTAATGCAAAGAATCTACCTCTGATGGTAAGAAAAAAGCAAAGGTACCCTCTTGGAGGTTTTGTTTGTTTGTTTGTTCTAAGCTTTCACAAATACCTCAGGCAAATTTCCTTTAATTTTATGACTAGTTTTAAGTGGACCCACAAAGTAGTCATTTACTTTCAAAGATGGGCACACCTTTTCATCTGCATCTGGTTCTAAGTTGTCAGGAAACAAGGATGCTGACTTGAGGTGCATCCATCAGCCGAGGTCTAATACTGGAGGTGCTGGAAGGAAAGGAACTGCTATGGCTCCTGTCTTTTTGCCCAGGGCCCAAGAAAAAGTAATTATACATTATCAGGAGCACTGGGAAGAAAGCACACAGGATGCTGTAAAATAAGGGAAGAGAATGGTTCTGGTCATCAAAGAAAGAGTAGGTGATATGTCTCCCCCAGTGAGATGGTGAGAAGCAGCCAGACATGTAAAGAGCCTGAGAGAGGGTTGGAATCACAGGGAATTAGCTGGGACAAAGCCCCAAGTCAGCTTATGTTTCTAGATGGAGATATAGAGGGGAGGGTTCCCCAAAATCTGAGTTCTTCCTAATGTATAGCTTTCCTTTGCAAAGCTAGTTCCGCTAGCCTAAGGGCAGACCTCTGAAAAAGGCTTAGATGCTAACTGTGGGATCAAAAACCACACTGAAAACACACACACACACACACACACACACACACACACTGATGGGGGGCTGTGAGCTACGGAAAAAAAAAAGGTAAAAGGAATCCAAGGAAATCTGCTGGGACTAGGGTAAAGCAAGTGAGGCATTTACCCTGGGGCAAAATTAAAGAGGACACCAAAAACCCAGTAATCGGGATGAATAACATTTTAGTGCAACGTTTTAAAAAATCCAAATTAATGCTAAAAATCCATGGTAACAAAATATCAAAAATTTGCAGGCAACATCCAACAGGGCTAGAATTAAGGTGATGGCAGTGAGGTAGAATGGTGCAGGTTCAGGGTTGGCTGAGAGGTTGGCTCCTATCTTTGTTTTTTTTTTTCCTGTCTTTTATTTATTTATTTTCTTTTTTAAATTCCAGTATAATTAACATGCAGCTAACGAGATAGTTTTGGATGTACAAAATATGGTGATTCACCAATTCTCTGCATTACTCAGTGCTCATCATGTTAAGTGTACTCTGAATTCCTTCCCCCGTTTTGCCCATGCCCCCACCTGCCTGGCAACCACCAGTTCTCTATACTGAGAGTCTGGTTTTTTTATTTGTCTCTTTTTTCATTTGACCATTTGCTCTGTTTCTTAAATACCACATATGAGTGACATCATATGGTATTTGTCTTTTCCAGACTTACTTCACTTAGCATTATACTCTCTAGATCCATCCATGTTGGTGCAAATGACAAGATTTAAACATTTGCTATTGTATTCTCCATGGCTTTTTGGTATTAATTTTGTTTTTTTATAATATTACATTAAAATATGGCTTTTCTTGGTTACTGGGTTTTTTGAGGCCCCTTCAGTTTGCACCTGAGGGGGGGGGTGCCTCATTTGTCCCATCCTAGTCCTGGCCCTGGGAATGGGAACACTGCCCAGTACTGGCAGAGGCTGGGGAGAGCTTGTTTGTTCGTGGAGCTGAGGGGGGCCTGCCTGTGGTGGATGGAGAGCAGGGAGTGAGAGAACAGGAAGTGAGTGCCAGCTGAAGTTGGAGAGGCAGGCAGGAGCCTGACCTTGCTGCATAAGCTACCATGCAGCTTTTTGTAACCCTTTATAGAAGGAAAAAGTTACCAGTGGGTTTGTTTTCAAGCTCCCAGGCATGGTCAATAATACTGCACATCAGAAAAGGCACCTGGTAATTGTTATGCCCTTTCATCCCTGAAGAGAAGTATTTAAAGTGTGTCAGGGGTTTTCTTTTTTTTTCAGCACCTGATGTGTAGATACTCGGAAATGACTCTGGAAAACAAGAATTTGAATTGTCAGAAGGAAGCTGCACAGATAATTAATGCCATGTAAGTAATTGCTTTGTTTTTAAAAAGCCCATTGAGCATAAATGTTAAATGCATTTGTCTTTGAAAATCTATTAGTGCCAAGTTGATTGCATGGAGTGTCCTAGAATTCACTTAAGTCTTGCCAAGAAATTGGTGATCCAAAGCCCTTTTGCCCCAGGTGGTAGCAAATTGAAATTATAAAAGTTTTAAACCACTGCACAGCTTCTAGATCTGCAGGGTAACTCTGCAGTAGCCTTGTGAAATTAATATCTCAAACATTTAGTGATATTTATGATAACAAACCTTCCATATTAAGCATAAATGGTTTTCACGTGTTGTTTGTTTAACAGAAACTGGCAGAGTGCCTATTGAGAAGACAACATTGTGAAGTCCTAGGGCAATTGAAAACAAGCCAAAATTTACTTCCTTGAGATATACGTATGAACTAGAGAATGTCATTTTCACAAACAGAATTATTTCTTGACATAACTTCTCTCTCCTACCTCCTTCAAAATTCCTGTGCTATAATATACAAGAGCCTAGAATACTAGGTTACTTCAGAACAGCCAGGGATGGCTGTGCAGGTGGTGGACTGCACCACTTAAGGGGTTATACACAGACCAAATCTATAATTTTGCTGAAGAACTCTCTTCTTGATTTTGTGAGTACCCCGTGAGAATGGCAGTACCTCCCCAGAGCTGTGCAAGGCAATAGGTGAAAAAGAGTAGCCCGCGTTCGCTTAATCTTCAAGGCCAAATAACACAAACAGGCTTCTCTGACACTCAGTCCAGTGGTTTCTCAACTGCTCTATGTTTGTTTTCCAATTTCACATTTAAACTGAGGAAACTGGTTCATCAAAGATACTCAGTCTTCGTTTAACACATGATCTCCAGTTAAAATATACCTGGGAGCTAACATTATAGGTGAGCTCTTATAACCTAATTTCCTTAGGTTGCTAATTATTCTTGCAAGAATGTCTGGAATTCTTATTTTGTTTTATTTTAAACTGAGATGCGAGAGGAGTAAAATAACTAGGCTAATTTCAGCTGTCATTTTTGAGCTGCAGTTACAAAACTGTCTACCTGGCCATGCTTACAATTAAAGTGTGCCAGAGTCTGATCATTTGTAGGGTCTTTCACATTATGAAATATTGATTTCTTTTTTATATATATTTTTTATTGGAGTTCGATTTGCCAACATATAGTATGACACCCAGTGCTCATCCCGTCAAGTGCCCCCCCCCAGTGCCTGTCACCCCTTCCCCCTGCCCACCTCACCTTCCACTACCCCTTGCTTGTTTCCCAGAGTTAGGAGTCTCTCATGGTTTGTCACCCTCTCTGATTTTCCCACTCATTTTCTCTCCTTTCTCCTATAATCCCTTTCACATTTTTTTATATTCCCCATATGAGTGAAACCATTTAATGATTGTCCTTCTCCCATTGATTTACTTCACTCAGCATAATACCATCCAGTTCCACCCACGTCGAAGCAAATGGTGGGTATTCATCGTTTCTAATGGCTGAGGAATATTCCATTGTATATATGGAATCCAGTCATCTTTCAATGGACACCGAGGCTCCTTCCACAGTTTGGCTATTGTGGACATTGCTGCTATAAACATTGAGGTGCAGGTGTCTTGGCGTTTCACTGCATCTGTATCTTTGGGGTAAATCCCCAGCAGTGCAATTGCTGGATCATAGGGGAGCTCTATTTTTAACTCTTTGAGGAACCTCCACACAGTTTTCCAGAGTGGCTGCACCAGTTCACATTCCCACCAACAGTGCAAGAGGGTTCCCCTTTCTCCACATCCTCTCCAACATTTGTGGTTTCCTGTCTTGTTATTTTTCACCATTCTCACTGGTGTGAGGTGGTATCTCATTGTGGTTTTGACTTGTATTTCCCTGATGGCAAGTGATGCGGAGCATTTTCTCATGTGCTTTTTGGCAAAATATTGACTTCAAATTGTCACCGTTTTTTTGTTCATGAACTATGGCTATGTTTTAAGGAGCTCTATTTAATCTTACAAAATAAGGGATGTATATTCCAGAAAATCATGCATTCCCTAGAGGCTCCAGACTATGTTCCAGAGGGATGAGAGCTGCCTACAAATGGTCATTACAATTACACAATTATTACAAAATAATAAAGATTAGAGTGGGAATACATGAAATAGAGACTTCTAGTCTTTTGTAAGGAGGGAGCTGAGTGCAAAAGACATTCCACAGTATTGGGCCCTGACTAAGTCAGGCACAGCAGCAAATGTCATTGAGAATATGGTAGCAGACCTTTTAGTGCATGAGTAACATAAGCACATTTCTTTAACAGAAGAAGGAGGCTCTAAAGTAATCATTTTGAATAACATTTTGTGGAGTGCTTGGCTCTGTTTTAAGCACTTTAAATTAACTCATTTAAGCTCACAGGAACCCTATGAATTAGGGATTATTATTATTATTTTAATGATCATTTGTTAAATAACTTGCCCAAGGGCATATACATGTAACCTGGGAGCTAGGATTTGAACCCAGAGAATGTTATTAGCCTCGTGATAACCACTGTGCCACGCTTACCTACTGTATGAAGCATAGAATATATAACATGTTCAACAAAATCTAACTAATAACAATACTACCATTTGGGGTACGTCTTTTTTTAAAGATCTTATTTATTTGACAGAGAGAGAGAAAGAGAAAGCACAAGCAGGGAGAACAGCAGAGGAAGAGGGAAAAGCAGGTTCCCCACCAAGCAGGGAGCCAGATGCAGGGCTCAATCCCAGGACCCTGGGATTGCAACCCCAGCTGAAGGCAGACACTTAACTGACTGAACCATGCAGGTGCCCCCTCATTTGGAATACTTTTATGTGTCAGACACTGTACAAACATTGTTTCATGTAATGCTCACCACACCCTATCCTTCACAGATGAAAAAAACTGGGGTTCAGAGAAGTTCAGTAACTTGCCCGAGGCTACAGAGCTAATGAGTGGTAGAGATGAGATTCAAACCCTGCCTAATTCCAGAGATTAAATCCTATCCACAGGGTTGAATTAGTCCGCTAGTCCATTTACTCCTTGATGGCCAAGATCCTAATTTGTCGTACTTAATGACAATCAGTCATAGGCCATAAGAAATGAGCAGAAATTTGGAAAGTACATAATTTGCTTTTAAGCAAGTCTAATTTGAAAAATATTACCAATTAACCACAGTCCTGGTTGGCTCATTACCTACCCTGAGTTTATTAGTTTTTGCCTGGCCTGTCTCGAGATGCTTTCCCCTTCTCAGTAGTGTAATGATACTTCTGTAAAATATTTGTTTAATTTTTGTGAGCATATTTGGGATGAGTTGCATGTGGGGATCTTTATTATTTATAGGCAGAAAAAGATCCACCTGCAGACTCTGCGGGCGCTGTCTGAAGTGCAGAAAATGACACCCAGAGAAAGGATGCGGCTGAGGAAGCTCCAGGCAGCTGATGAGAAGGCCAGGAAGTTGAAGTAAGCTGCCTTTCCTCAGGGTACCTTGCTCTCTGGCCACTTCCCAGAAGGAATTGACTGAAGAAAAGCGAAAGCAAAAACAAGAAAGCAAAATGCACATATGCATTTTATATTTCTTTGTTTCTTCACTTATTCGTCCCCTCGAAAGATGGGCTTTTAGCCATAGGTGGTTATTGGATGCCAGCCACGATTAATGTCAGGCTTTCAGTCTTGTGTGCAAAGAAAGATTGAATGTCAGGGAGCTTATTAGCGATGAAAATACAGAGTCAGCCTCCAAATGAAGCCTCTTTGCTGCTGATGCCTCCAGTACATACCCCACCCCGGCGAGAGGGTGAAGATGTTTGCTGTACCCCCTCTGCCAGGAGGTCTAGGGGGAAGAATGGTCTATAGGGGGAAGAATGCACTGGCAGGAAATTGTTAGCTTTAGAAGACAGATTGGAAGTAGCTCTGCTCTGTCAAGTGAAGCCCTTTGAAAAATCTATGATCAGGGCAACCCTGCTGGTGATCAACATCACTAGTAAAGTATTTACATGAAAAGGGGAGATTTCAAAGAGCCCTAGACTCCCAGTTTCTCAAAGACCAATTTTTCAGTTGGTAGATTATCCAATCGCCTAATTTTTCTTCTTTCTCTGCCAACTATTTGGTAGCTTAGAAGCCCCAACTAAGAGGTAGAGAGACAGAAAAGACCTGAAACTCAATCTGTTCATTTTGTGGCCTTGCTAACATATCTGAAAAAGGATTTGGAAATATTCTTATACTTCTAGTGCATATTATGAGGAACCAAGTAAGAATCTGTGAGACTACTTCTTTCCCCTTAACACATGCCTTCTGTAATCAATGTGGAAAACTCTGTCAAAGTGCACTGTGGGCAGTCATGTGCTGGTAAATGTTTAACAACCACCTCTGGGGGTGTGGGGCTGGAAGGGTGTAAATACTCCCGCAACGGCCAATTTCAAGGTACCAGTGTGGTATCATCTAATGTTCAGTTGGAAGATATGTACACAATCTGCTCTTGGGAACCAGTGCAAGCTGGTTTCTGCAAACCACTGCACCACTGGGTGTGGGTTTTACTGAGAAAATATATTTACATAAATTGCTTGAGCCATTGTATTAACTAACAGTCCCAGATCTATTTCTAAGGCCTCAGGAATGGCAGTATTTCTGGGGTACCATGACTCATGTCATTGTTTGAGGGTGAAAGGAAAATTAAATCTCTGACAGGAACATATCAAAAAGGCAATTTAATAACTTACATGCACATTACAAATTGTATTTCAGATTAAAATGGTTTTTAATACACAAAGTCATAGACCTTCCACATGATATTCAATGTTTTTTATTTAAAGGCAATGATTTTAGATAAAGTTTACTATTAGTTTTATGGTTGAATTGCATTGTTTTTGATCATTATTTCTAGAATTCGAGCACAGTCATGTGTTTTAGCTAGAAAACAACTCTATTGTCAGGAGGGATATAATGTACCCACTTTAGAAACAAGATTTGACTCTAAGGATATTCAGTGACTTTTCAAAAATATCTAAATCTAAATTAGCACACAAGTAATCACGAGAACTCAGATTTTTCCTCCAGTTTAAGTCTATTACTTTTACCTCTTCTATATTAGACGGAAAAATGTGTTGGAGAAAAGTTCCCTTTCACAGTGGCTCTCAAATTCTTTCCATAAATTCTTGGAAATCTAGCTCTCTTCTCCTTGTTTGTGGGTTTATTCATCCTGAGAACAGTAATCGAGTTATTAGTTCCTGTTGGGCACTGCCTGGTGTCAGGGACACCCCCCACCCCACCATCACAGAGAATACGCAGGGGTCCATACTGCTTTTTTTGCCCTCAGAGTCCCATGGATCCTCAAGAGGAATCTGAACATGAGAAGAATTCTATGTTCTTAATATGTGTGAACCCCTAGTTTCTAGAAACTAGGCCTTTTCTTCTGGAATGTTCAGAGACCCCTGCTTCTAAGAAATGTTATCCCCAGAAATTAGAAATTGAGAGTATAGACATGCTAATATTGTGTTTTATAAAACCTAAATAACTTTATTCTTGAAGTTGCCGTATGGCAAATGTGTGTATATCTAAGTTTGAATTTTAGCGATGAGTTTTAGGGGTTCTAAGGATAGATAAGGATCCAGACAGAGCATCATCATGTGTGCTTTAAAAGAGTACCAAGTGGTGCTACACTTCATTTACCTTGATGAGGGAGAGACCCATTGATCTGGTTTCTCAACACCCCACTCTACCTGTTGAAACAGAGATCTCGCTTTACCTGCATAATTTAGATGTGGCTTTAGCAAAATGCAGCAGTTTTTCTATGTTCACTTTAAAATTGCAGAAAGCTTGCAGAAGAAAAATATGAAGAAAATAACAAACGATTGCAAGAGTTAAGATCTCAGAACTACGGGCAGCTGACTGTTGATGTACTCCATGTAAGTGCTCTCTTGTTTTAATGTTACATCAAACCTTTCTTTAATTGCTTCAGATTCATCACATTGATGTGGCCAGTCAGGTAGGAGAAGGGACAGAGGGGGAAGAAAAAAAGCATCTAGACCAACTTTGCCCAATTCAGGGTGGGAGGTACTGGGGTTCATTTTAGCATATAGGCTGATGGTTAGTGATGACACTAATTCAGAGCAGCTGTACTTAGAAATGGATCAATAGATTCCTCCAAAAACATCCAAGTGCATACTGCATACGAGAAAACTCAATCAGCATGGAATGAACAATTGATGAATAAAATTATGACTTTGTAGAGCAAATGTATGTATATCTAATTTTGAATTTCAGCCGTGCTGTTTTTGCTTTACCTCTTTATTCCATTGTTCTCTTTCTGTATTATTTTTTCCTTCCGTTTTAATTTTCTGTCTCCCATCTATGTCATTATGCATTGTGTTAATAATCCCTTTTGAACTTTGAATAATTACCTTGGATGTCCAATAATAAATAGGGTTGCAGAGTCACATGAAATGGACCCTGAATCATGTCCTCAGCATCCCAAGCCCCTGAATAGCAAATAGCATTTTCTCTAATGGTTAAAAACATCTTCATGGGCCTTGGTGTAGGCAATGATACTTAAAGAAGTTTTTCTTCGGGCTCATATTTGGACAATAGACATCAACCCCAACTTCCTAACTCTTCTGATAAAAGCAACATTGGAGGGAGTCATTTTTATAGAGAACTTTATGGCTCAAATTCTGGTTGTTCCTTCATTGGAGATCTCTGCATCTGAGGGAGATTCTTTTTCTTCAGCAGGAAGAACCAAGCTCCCCTAAGGCTTTGGAGATGATCTCTGAAGTCTGGGGGCACTCATTTTCCTGTAGTTCAGTGATCAGAGTGCTCCAAACCCTGGGGCATTGCAGGAGCCCCCAGCAAAGTACACTCTCAGCCAGGCAGAGCTTAGGATCACTTGTTTTCTGCCTCCATTTGAGAGGTAATCCACCTTTCTCATTTACTTAATGGTTGTGAGTATTATCGATTATTGAAAACTCCAAACTGGAACAGATGGGGGGGGGGGAGTGTCCAGCCTTCTCTAACCTTAAGAGTATCTCTTGGACCCTTTAGCAGACAATATGGGGACATTGATGACATGCGCTCAATTCCACTTGCCCCCTCTATTCGTTTCATACTCCATTAAATGAAGCCAGCTGTGGAATCTCTTGTGGGTCCCAGAGACATGGAAGATAGTATCGTTCCCACTCATGGAACCTAGTGAATGGCAAAATTGCTGGCTGAAGGGGATTGGGTCAGGAGCAATGTTGGATCCCTACTTGGAGAAGGGTCTTGATGTTATCAGTGCATGGCAGACCTGATCCCCTACCAAGCACTGAGTGCTCATTGACAGCTTCCCACTTTTTTTTATGCCCTGAAATGATAACTTGTGGAGGTGGGTCACCTGCCCTAGATCTGTTGGCTTTCTTCCACACAGGACTGAGAACTGCAAATTTCCACAGATCCTTAGAAGGAATCTGGCTGATGATAGAAATTCTGTTTGTCAATATGTGTAAAACTACTTGTTGAATCATCTAATAGAAACTGGGACATTTTTTCTGGAAGGTTCAGGGATCCCTGCTTCTAAGGATGTTATCCTCAGAGATTAGAATTTGAGAAATACAGATGTGGTAATATTTTGTTTTCTAAGACCTAAATAACTTTATTCTTGAAGTTGCTGTATAGCAAATAAAAATGTAGTTTCAAATATGATTTTACATTTCAACGTCTGATAATTTACTTGACATTTTTGCTTTCCTTCATTGACCTTTCAAAGTAATAATTTATGTGTTCTTTTTCATTTCTGATGTGATTGCTGTCAGTGTTAAACAACTACTCTCTAAGTGATCCTGTCCTCTTTTAAACCAGGGTCCTTGGGGATCCTGCAGTAACTTTAAGATAAAACTGAAACCATAATGGCAGGCAGGATCTCGGGAGATTTTATTAACTATATATTATCCCTCAGAACATGGGATAATCCCACAGGATAGTGGAGATCTTGGCTCAATTCAGTTGAAGAAAGTGAGGATTTCATAAAGATTTCATGAAGTCCCAATTCACAACTTCCTGGTGTCTATGTAGTTATTCTCAATTCCATCCCCTTTCCATCAGCAAGGAGCAAAGGGAGCAACAAGAGGGAAAGTGCCTAATGCTGTTTTGTCCAGAGATGTTGGCTCATCCTTTGATCTTTGATTTAGTATTGCCAACATCTTTGGCCCTGAGATTTCCAGAAGTACATTTCTTAAGTTTGCATATTGATGGAGGCAGGAAATGCTCCAGCAGATGCTTGGGTCTTCTAGCTGGTTCAGTCTTGCAGACTGGGTTGCTCGGCACTTCCCTAACCCCCCAGGTATCTTGCCCAGTTTTATGCAATTATATCAGCCTTTCCATCTCACCCCTCATTAGCATCCCACCTTCTCACTTTCAAATGTCACTTTCTCTTTAGGAAAATCCTCTTTGACCTCACAAGTCCACAATCCAACTGGCTCTTCTCTAAATTCTTATGGCTTATAGCAATGCTTCTCAAATTTCAAAATTCACCTAAATCACCTATTGTTTTTGTTAAAAGGTAGATTATGATTTGGTTCGTCTGGGGTGGGGCTTGGGATGCTGAATTTTTAAAAAGCTCCTGGTGATTCTGATGCTGCTCATCCAGGACCACACTGATTAATAATGGACAGAGAGTGAGGCTCTTGAAAGCCATTTCACCTTCAGATGAAGGAAGACCAGGAAAAGCTACCGATTAACAGGCTTTCTTATAGACTCTTTAGGAAAAAAGCATTTAATGGGAACGGAAGTAAAGGAAAAGTGACCTGGGGCTTTCTTGTTCACCCCAGGAGGAGGATGAAGAGAGGAGGCTAGGCAGGAAAGAGGCGGTTAAGCATATTCACAGGCACAGAGTGAGGCAGGTTTAATGATATTCAAAGAACAAAAGAGAGAGAAAATGGGAAGCTAAATACTTTGCAGAGGGACTGAAGGGTTTTAAATATCTCAAGGGAAGACATCAGTGAGCTGGAAAAGAGGAAATAAAATGTAAGAAAGAAATTGGATTAATCAGATGCAAGAAGCTAAAGAAAAACGTGATAAGGAGAAAAGGAAGAAAGGAAAATGCTCCTGTCTCTGCCCATACACATATTTATGTATTATGATTTAAATTCTTCCCAATTTCACTGGGGCTCTCTTCTCTGTCCTCTCTCTCTCTTGTCAGCTGATATGAAGTGCTTTATGTTATCAAAAGCAGTGGTATGAGATAAAATCCGAGTTAGGGGAGAAAATAGGCTCTGCTATTTCTTAAACATGTCAAAAATTCTTTGAAGCACTTAGGAGAATGGCTTGTTTTGTTTCCCAGACCCTAACTAACAGGACCTTTTATTTTGGCATGTATTTTCTGCTTGGCTGAATTTGAGCTTTGAAATCTGGAAGCGTAGTTGGACATGGAATCATAGGCACCATTTCTTTAAAGGATGGTAGCTTTAAAACAACTAGATTCCATAATATACAAAATAAGCCTGGTCTTTCTTTTATCCTGTGACACACACAGTTGTGATGATGCCAAAACTGGGTTTCTGTGAGAAGTGTGTAACACATCAGTTCTCCATATATGAAATAGTAAAGGAGATCAAAGATCAGAGCAAGTCCTTTCTAATAGAAGCAATTATAACAATTCTATCTCTTCTCTTCAAAGAGAACCTCAGCAAATCAAAGTCAATTGAGGGTCCAAATACTTATTTTCCAATAATTTCTGAAGTAGAAGTGAAAACACATTTCATGCAATCTTTGTTCTTTGTTCTTAAAGTTGCCTGTGTGCTATCAGTGATCCTTTGAAATTTGAAATCAATTTCACCTCCTACAGCAATCATACAGTACAAACACTGGACTTCTTAAAAATATTTGATGACTGTATTTTCTCAAATGCTGTACCATGGCTTTGTTTTATTCATTAAGATTAGTTTGAGCTTTCCCTTCTGTTTTTAATAAGAAGACTCTCTTGGAGTAGTTCTCCATGAAAGCCACTTATCAAGGAAAATAGGTCAGTTCATCATTAGCTCTAGGTTGCAAACACACACACACACAAATCCGGGGGGGAAAAAAGCAAAATGATCTATTGAAATACCTACTGATATATTTGAAAAATTTTACTTTTTTTTTTGAAATGTGAATTCTTTCATGTGGCCTCTTAGATCTCTTTCTTTAGGAAACTGGAGTTTACAGAATCATAGCACTGTTAAAGCTAGATGAGAACTTGGAAGTCATCCAAGCCAAACAGCTCTACTTCTGAGATGAGGAACCTGAGCAGGGCTGAACTAGGGGGAGATGGATGTGGTACCCTGGATGCAGAATTGTAGGGAGTATTTGTTCTTCGCTGCTGAACATGACTGCTCTTGCATGAGCCAGAAAGTGAGTACTTCCTTCAGTTGTGTACCTGGGCATTCCTCCTGCCTCATCCTAGTCATGGCTCTGAAACAGATGCCACAGAAGGTCAAGGTCACCAGTTGAGTTGGTTCAAGGCTGCTTCTCTTATCCCAACCTGCCTTTCTGAAATTTGAAAGTGGAATCCTGTTTAAGGGAGAGGATTTATTTCTACATAGTTTTCTAAACAATATTGTTTCATTTGTGGTAACGCTGTTTCCTTCTATCAACTTCTCATGAACTGTTAATTACCTTCCACAAGGAATTTGATGACCTGACTTCAGAGAACCTACCTGAATCTCAGCCCATTCCTTCCTTGGACCTTGACCCACTTGAATCAAGTATAGAAGACACCTTAACTGACCTTGGAGATCATGGTATGAGTTTACATCAGTATTCAGAAGGGTTGGCACATGGGTTGGTGTGGCTGACCGTCTGGTAGGCTTGGCTGGCCTCTGAGAAAAGCCTTGGATGTATGTGACCACCTTTCATCAGTTTGGCAGAGGTGAGCTGGGACCAGGATAAAAAGCAGAGAAGCCAAAGGACTGTCTGTCCTCTTCTATCTTTGTAATAGATGAAAATGAGTTGGAAACTCACACTAAGTGAGAAACTTTTGCATGAGTTAAACAATATTATTATTAACGGACATTGTAATGGTGTAGGACTATGAATGCTCTGAAATACTGTTTCCTCCTTCTATTAGTGATTTCCCTGGCCTTTATAAAAGTGAACAAATGAAGTCCAGTTTGGAAAATCAACTATACAGATGTGCAATCCTTGCCAGAAGAAAAGTGTTCAGAGCTGTTACCCAAATAGGAGAGAGATAGCATAGTTTAATGTTAAAAACATGAATTTTGGAGTCAAAAGCTGTCCCCGTCAGGGAAGCCCCTGGCAACTTTGTAGATTTCAGTTTTCTTATCTATGGAAAAAGAATAATACCTCCTTTAAGGGTTGCTGTGAAAAGCAAATGAGAGTTGGCATATGACATGCTCTTACCTCAGTGCCCAACACATAATAAGAGCCAAAGAAAGGGAAACAGTTTATTACCCTAGGGGGGAGGGTTATGACCATGGGGGCCATCTCAGTCTTGTACCACCCTCCCCAGTGCCTAGGACAAAGTGCCAGGAATATTTTCTGGCACTCAATAAATATTTCTTGGATGAATGAACGAATGAATGATATATTAGACTGCCCTCCAAGAAGCAGTTGTCAAGATGGGTGTAAAAGTGCAAGGATATTAGGGAAAATGTCTGCATGAAAGGCATTAGGAAAGGAGCTGGAAAAGGCTGAGAGAATCATCAACCCATGATTTAAGTCATGTTACAAATGAAAAGACAGGTTTGGTGGATGTGTACTAGTCTGCCAGGCAAACAGAGGCAACCAAGACATCAGGAAGTCTTTAAGCAAAGTAAGCCATCAGGGGCTTGCGTTAGTTTCCCTGCTGCACTTTAGCAGTGGTAGTGGCCTCTGAGAGAATGCAGGGATAGATTTCAGAACACAGCCTTAGGACCCTTGGCCAATTATGCTCCTTATAGTGGGAGGTCTTTGAGGTGCATCCTCATGGCTACACAATGGTTTAACAACTCTCTTGGGCAGTAGTTCTCCTTCCAAACTGAGAGTGAAGGTAGTGAAGTTTGGGTTGATTGGTCATCTCAGCCCAAATTTGCATTTGATGTCATCTTTACAGATCTTTTAGAACTTGTGCTGCTGCTTTCACCTGTAAGTAAACTAGCACCTGAAGCTCTTTCGGTTGGCATTTGCCAACTTTTCAAATGATGGAAGCCATCTGATAACAGGTATTATTGACAAACAAATAGGTTTGTCAAATGGATTTGCATCTTGGATCCTTTTCAGGTATTTCTATACAATACTAATATTTTCCAAAGGTAAAACTTGTAAGCACAGAAATATCCCATAGGCCTTTCCAAAAATATAAAACTGAGAGGCCATTGGATAGCACTTGATATGGATGGCTTGTGCTTTGCTGTAAGGCAGGGCCATCCCTATGTATAAAGAGGAAACCCCAGAACAGGATATTGAGTGGGTAGTCTAGGATCAAGAAGTCTGGGCCCAGCCTCTGGGTCTCAAGTAGGAAAAGTATTTCCTACTCATTTCATACATGAGAAACCAAAGACATTACATAATTTGCTTAAGAACTCAAAAGTGCCTGCTTTATAGAACAGCACCCCTTTCCATTTTCCCCAAAGGTGTTGAGTAGGAACAATAGATTCTCCAGAATCAGACAAATGAATTGGACTTTCAAAAGGCAGAGTCTTTTCTTTGTGTGTCTCTATGCTAATTTTTGTCACCTGCATTAGTCAAATTACTCCTAAGCTAGCCCTGACCACAGGTTGCACCTACCACCAGGAGACTCATGCTGATGTCCCCCTTTGTCTTTTGTCATGGACGTTGCAATATGATAGAGTGATATGATAGATTGAGTTACTAGCCAAACTGGAAATTTATGCTATAAGGAAACACTACTTAGGTCTCCCATAATAAGCCATCAGATAAAAAAAAAACACATTGTGGTTTTAGTTGAGCCAAATGCCTTGTAAAATATGTTAAATATTCCCCTTATTTTTCCTTCCCGTTAAGTTCATATTTCTCTAAATTGAAAAGGGAAACAGAACAATAAAAACGTAACCTTTGAGTTGGTGATTGATTAGAATTATGGGCAACTACAAGATTATTAGTGATCATATAGCTAGTGAAGTTTTGGGATATGAAACTTTAATTTGTTGATGAATTTTGCAGTGGTTATTTTCCCCATTCTCTTTGCTTTTTAGAAGATTTGACTCCAAACTTTCAGCACCTAGAGGAAGTTTTTATTTGTTTATTTTTTATCTAGCATGTATATGTAAAATAAAATTACACAGTCTTTTTTTGAAGCTTTTATACCAAATGTAATCAGTCTTTGATGTTGAATTGGAAAATTCCCTCTGGGATGTGAGGAGTTAGTTGCAGAGAAAGAAAACAAAGTAAGATGTTATTTACATTTGGTATGCATTTCGTTGGCTACAGCTGATTTAATCTAGCCAAAGTCATGGATAACCATTATATTCAAATGAGAAAGCACAACTGGAACATTAAAGAAATTATCCCTACCTAACCCCCGTATATGTAATGCTGATGATTTCTTACACATTCATTTCTGCCAGGAATTTCATTGCATTTAGCCTTATTTTCAGCAGCTTCCAACTGAGTTGCAGAATAGGGTTTTTTGCAAAGCTGAAAGAGCTTGAGGCTCATGAACATGGTGCAGACAGAGAGCATGGCTCTCAATCCACCTGTTCAGGTGCTAAGGGTTCACTGAAGTAGGCCTTGGCTGCCCACCCACAGCCTGACCAGTTATCATTTAAGTACTCTTTTAGCTACTCCTTGAGTGACTCCTCAGCCCCTTCCCTGTGCTCCAAGAAAGCTCTGACCTCAGAGGGATTGTCCTTTGCTTGCCCGTAGGAAGTCTACATGCCCTTTGTAGTTATCAGCTGCTCTGTGACTTAAGGTATCATCTCTTCCCTTTAAGTGTCCAAGTGGAAATAAAGTGATTTGAACTCTGTTACACAACAATACATTTTTATTATTTTTAAAGATTTATTTATTAGTGAGAAACACAGAGAATGGGGCAGAGACATCGGCAGAGGGAGAAGCAGGCTCCCTACCGGGAGCCTGAAGCAGGATTTGATCCCAGAATCCTGGGATCATGACCTGAGCCAAAGGCAGATGGTCAACCACTGAGCCACCCAAGTGTCCCTTATTATTTTAGTTTTTAAAATGAAAACATCAACTGACTTTGCAGTTCTACCTCTAGATAACTACCTAAGAGAAATTAAGACATGTCTCTAAGAAGATCTGTACACAAATGTTCTTAGCAGTTTATTCGTAGTACCAAAAATTAGAAACAAGTGTCAACCAATAGATGAATGGGTAAATGAACTTCTAGTTTATCCATACAATGTAATCCTACTTGGCAATGAAAAGGAACAAACTATCAATACACACAACAATATGAATGAATATAAAAAATATTGTGCTGAGTGAAAGAAGCCACAAACAAAAGAGTTCATATTAAACAATTGCATTTCTGTGAAGTTCTAGAACCAGCAGCACTTATCTGTAGTGATAGCAATGAGAACAGTGGTGGTCTGGAAATTGCGAATTGATTCAAAGGACACAAGGGAACCTTTTGTGGTGATGGAAAAAGTCGATACCTTGATTGTGGTGGTGGTTTACCTTGATGTATATATTTGTCAAAACTTACTGAACTCTCTGCTCTAAATGAGTGCATTTTATTGTCTCTCAATTATACCTCAATAAATTTGGTCAATAAAAAGAACATTGTTAAGAAGAAAGGGGAAAAAAAACATTGAGCGTAGTGCCTCAGTCTGTACTTTAGCTAACGAATGGCTGAGAGAGACTGGTGAGGTGGTGGAGGTAGAAGGTCAACTAGGAAGATCTCTAGTATTACTTGGGACACAAAGTCCTTGGTCCAGATAGTGATCATGGAGTTTTCTTCTAGTGTCAACTGGGCAATATTGCCTTCCACAAGGAATGCTAACAGTTTTGGGGTCTTCTCTCCAGAGGAAAATTAAAGATGAGGGACTGGAATCCCTTAGCTCCTCTCTTCAGGCTTTATAGTTGGAGGTGGCACACTGGTGTTGCAGGAACCCATACCAGCAAGTGTCACATGACCTTGTGTCCTCTGAAAGCAGCCCAAACATACTAGCACAAGAACTAACAGCCCAGACACCAAAACTCAGCCCAGAAAAGCCGGTAGAGCTGTTTGGCTCATTAGTCCTCAAAAAAGACTAAGTGCCGGGGGTCACTTCTATATTCCTAGATGTCCCATCACTTCCAGAGCTTTAGATATCTTTTTTTTTTAATTTTTAAAAATTTTTTTTTTATTTATGATAGTCACACAGTGAGAGAGAGAGAGGCAAAGTCATAGGCAGAGGGAGAAGCAGGTTCCATGCACCGGGAGCCTGACATGGGATTCGATCCCGGGTCTCCAGGATCGCGCCCTGGGCCAAAGGCAAGCGCCAAACCGCTGCGCCACCCAGGGATCCGAGCTTTAGATATCTTAAAGACTTCATTCATAAATATAAATTGATGGTGGTTTTATTTCAGATTTGTCACATATTCCATTGAGTTACATTTGTGTTGCATGGTAATGTTTCCACCTGACTCTTGTATTTACACCCAAGAATAAAGTCTCCAGCAGACCCTCTCTAATTTCCTCAGCTCTTGAGGATAATTAAAATGAATCTAATATTGAGTAAAAATGTGCTGATTCTCCACATTGAGTCATATTTAAGAATCGAAGTGTTCCTTCCACATGAGAAACTGTGTAGGTGCCTTTAACTGAAACTTAAGGATT